CATCAATGAAAGTAACTGATTCTATAAAATTCACTCCTCAGAGACTCTTAAGGCACTGGACCGAGAATCACCTCTGTTATTCTAAAGACAACGGGTGTTAGATATTTAGGAGATTGGAGAAACAGCTTTTCATGTTTCCAGTGAACCTTGTGGCTTATAATTCACATGAGTATCATCAACAAGTATCACGAATCAAGCAGGATACAAGTTGAGGACAGTAAGGTTTAAAAGAGGTAATTTGGCAAACTTTAATTTCATGTTCTAGATATTAAACTCCTCTAGGCAAAGAAGAAAACTGAGTCCAAATTCTACAAAGTTCTAACATATTGCATAATATATCTCCTAGCATACTGCGGACTGAGTATTTTATTGATTTTTATTATAATTAAAATTTTATCCCGTAGTAAGATTTTTATGAGTATAATTTGATCAGACATTCATAATAAGGAGAAAACCAGAAATGCATGGTAATTTGATAGGTCTTGTTAGAGAAAGAGAAGCATAAAAGATAATTTAATACTGTTTACATATTTTTTAGGAAAGAAATTTTTTAATATCTTCATGATTTCATATGAGGTAGGAGGATCTATAGTAGGAATACTGTATTATTTTCCTTTCTAATCTTATTTTTTCATGCTATTTCTCAAAATCAAATACAATGCTATCCTTCTAGGTTAATGTAAAATCAGATGGAAGGTGAGAGAAACTACATTTCCTCAGATTTAATATACAGTCATCACTCACAGTCACCCGCAGGGATAGCTTTCAAGATCCCCAGGGGATGCCCCAAACTGCACAACTGCTCATGTCTCTCTTATTCATATAGAACTATGAAAAATTTTAATTTAAAAATTAGGCACATTAAGAGATTAATATCACAGTAAGGGATTAATACAACGAAAGTTATGAGATGGAGTCTCTCAAAGTATCTCCTGTCAGACTAACACTTTTCTTCTCCGGATGCTGGAAGAGAACCAATACCTCTGAGATAAGAAGAGGAGTGAATTGATGGAGTAGACACTGCGCAGCATTAGGCTTCCGTACCAAGTAACCTGGACAGGAGCCACACCACGTAGTGTCCCCCAGCTGATAAGCAAACCAGGAACTCAACCCTGAAGGTAACATACCCAACATGGAAACATGAACCCAAGGTAAGACTCCACACCAGGAGAAAGTGGAAAGGACATGTACTCATGTTCCTCAGAAAAGTGTAAAATTTAAAACTTAGAAATGGACTATTTCTGCAATATTCTCATTTCATATTTTCAGAGCATGGTGACCATGAATAACTAAACTACAGAAAATGGAACCACGTGAGAAAGAAGGGTACCTTAACCACTTTTTCTGTCTCAATGAGAATGAACTGAGCAATGTAGCCTTCAGTTTCTCTAACTCTACTTCTTTAAAAAAAACACCACGAATCACCTTAGTCTCCATAGTAAACTGCTTCAGCTTACTGGTATCAGCTTACTGGAGTTGGTAGGTCAAATTATGCCAATCTAGCATATTGAATATTTAAGTTAAAAGAATTTACAACTAGCAGATAACAAAAGATCTTATTTTTCTTGAAACAGGAGACCAAATTCTCATGTGGAAGAGGCAACAGCCTTATCCTCAGGTGGAGAGATCAAAACCCGAAGAATTCTGTACCGAGCTGTTTAAATAGCTCTGGTTTGATGTCTCATACCTGTAGAGGCACCCAGACCTGAGTAGGGCAGAGATCTGAGGATCGGCAAGCAGGTAGCCCACTCAAACTTTGAGTGAGAAAAAGTCACACAAGAGCATGAGGCCTTGAGTTCAAGCCCTAGGACTGATGCTGGCATGTGTGCATGTGCCACATACACACACACACACACACACACACACACACACACACACACACACACACACACACACACACACACACAAAATTTGGTCTTGTCTTTTAAGCCTGCCCTTCTAATTTAGTTGCTTCTTCACAATTTAATATTCTTTGTTCCATCCGGCATGTCAATAACTAGCTTTAAGTTTTATTTTGGGACTTATTTCTTTGCATGGCTCCTGTACCCTGTGAAATTTGTATTAAGAAAATGTGTATGCGCCGGTGGCTCACACCTGTAATCCTAGCTACTCAGGAGGCTGAGATCTGAGGATCGTGGTTCAAAGGCAGCCTGGGCAGGAAAGTCCGTGAGATTCTTATCTCCAATAAACCACTAGAAAACTGGAAGTGGCACTGTAGCTCAAGTGGTAGAGCACTCGCCCTGAGCTGAAGAACTGAGGGACAGCCCTCAAGCCCAGAGTTCAAACCCCACAACAGACAAAAAGAATAAAGAAAAAGAAAATGTGTATTCTTTCTCCTATCGCTCTGCCTCTTGCCAGCTTAATTCCAGGGCCACTTGGGATACTGAAAGGATGGAGGCGAAGTTTTGCAGCCTTTGCCAAGTGCTTCTGGTCCTCTCTGCACTGGGCAGCATTTCTGAAATTCTCTTCTCCCTTTCACCATCTTATGCCTAAACGTTTATTACGCCGCCGCTTTCCTGCTGAGCCTCTCTCCTGACTGTATCAAGTTCTGTTCTCCTGTGTGTTCCCATGGAATGCAATATGTGCCAAACGTTCACAGAGCACCTCTTTTTGCAAACGACTTCCATTAAGTCTCCAATGAGCATATCTGACCCCAGCTTCACAGGCTGTCCACTAGAGCCGGGATAAAAGGCTTCGAGTCACAATTAGAAATAACTAACGGAATGATTAAAAGTGTACAGAGTGCTCTAGAGGAAATACAAAGGGTGGCAGGTGCATGCCGAGCAGCGGCGTCTGACCTAAGCCATCGTTAAGGAAGTCAAGCCAACCCTGACATGCATCATCTGGGCACAGAGATGGGCAAACAGAGCTTCCGGCAGAGTGGAGAAATGTGAGGAAACACCTCAAGGCAGGGCAGAAGAGGACGTGCAGCAGGTTTTCAGAGGAAGGAAAGCAATTGGTACAAGACAGGTTACAGGACTCACCGGGCTCAGAGCATTCCAGAGATGCCTCCTTACCTCATGGCCAGTGCTCCACATTGCTTCCAAACAAGAGCTTCCTGAGAAGCTACAGTGGGTAGTGAGCTGCCAGCGCCCAGCAGTGACCACCTCAGGCACACAATGCCACCCAGTCCACCCTCTTCCCTGACAACCCTGGAGCCCAGTCCTCTCACCTCTGCTCAGGCTCCGCTGTGACTAAGCACAGCTGGAGTACAAGGCCGTTTCAGTTTCTTCCCACTGCCCCTGTACTCAGGACTTCCTCTCATGTCCCTGTCAGGCTTTCTTTCCTTTTCTTTTCTTCTAGATCATACCTTCCTCAGATAACCTGGGGCTCTATCTAGACAAGGGTCTTCCTGAGCTTTATGATTATTTGTTCAGAGGTTCAATGACTGAACAATTTATTATGGCCACTTTCAATTAGACACGGTAAATGAGGCTCACTCAAAAGTATTCCTTACTTCTAATGGAAAAGATAGGAAAACTGAAACAGAGTTGTGAAGATTTACAATTCTTTTTCTAAGAAAACTCAAAATCAGCTCTACAGAGATAAAGTGGATAACTCTCAATTGGCTATTTTCAGTTCTTATTAAATAAATATTAAATTACAGAAATATATTGCAGGAAAATCGCATGATACATTTGGTCTGCTTCAGCAAAGCTACAACAGAGATGAGAAATGTTCCCTCAATTACTTCTGTTGAGTTTGCACATTGAGCTGCTTGCCAATTATGAGAGTTAATAAGGTTTTTCTTCAACAGAGGAAAGGATTTACTATCTCAACCTAGAAAACACATGCTAGAGTAAATCTCTGGTAAACTTTATTGCTAGGGAGTAAATTTTTGTTAGAGCTATCTCTCCCAGGCCTATACCATCCTGCCAACTCTGTATTAGCTAATCTATGAGCTCGGTGGGTTGATGCCACCCCTCACTGGAGTGAAAACTATTAGGATACACTCATCCTCCTTTGCCAAGTGCAGGCAAGGCATAATGGAGGAAAGTCTGAGTTCAGGGGGAAGTGATATGCTATCTTCAGTCTCCACACCTTAAATGTGTGGTAATTGCCTGCTGAAGCGGCAGGACCCAGACAGGGAAAGCAGAATAGGACAGAGACTATCACACAGAGCTGAGATACACCCAGGAAACAGAACGGAGAGTTGACAGCTCTGCTTGAAGGCAGAGCTGTTGAAATGAATGACTGAATTCTGTTTGGGTAACTATTAAAAGTATTTCAATTCACAGGGTATTGTCCTAGAATTTTGGAGTTAAAATTACACAATTGATTGTACCTTTCAGATTAACTTACTGCTTTTGCTGGGGGGGAGGGGGCAGTTAATTATCATCATTGTGTCAGTTTTAATTTTATAGATCTTCTTCAAACAAAGACCTAAAAAATTCTATGTACCATCACAGGGATCAAAACATACAGTTAAAATGTGCTCTTGTGTGCTAACTAATTTCATTAAGTATTTGGATGATGGATGGAAATCATTACTGAACACCCTAAAGAGTACACAAATGCAAGGCAGTAGACCACATGGCCCAAAATAAATGAATAAAAGTTGATATTTTATTGATTTCCAGAGGAATCTGCAGTTATAGCCCATAGGCAAAACCAAGGCATTATTTGTTTTGCACATATAATATTTACACACATATATTACAAAAATGCATTTAGCTCAGCATTGCACTATTTCAGTAGACATGGACAGCTGCCAGGTTGGGACAACAGTAAGTTCTCAGTATGAACTACTTTACATACAGTCTAGATCACCTACCTGTTACTGTAAGGTATTTCTATCTGTGACCTTTGTATATTGTGCACACATTAATATCTTTCCAGCTAAGTACAGGTTTGGTATATAGAACAACAACAAACCTGACAGAAATACAAAAAACACATCATACAAGTGAATAACCATGGCAGGTAAGTAAAAACTTTAAACAGGATCGTTGACAATTTAGCAATAGAGCCATTAGCCACTGCACCAGTGCACTTCTTACCTGAAGGTCTTTTTCTTCTATCTTACTTTGGAGCACTTTAAGGCATTTGGTGAAGTCAGTGTGGTCTTGATCAGGAGTTGAAATGAGCTCACAGCCCTATTTAGTAAAGAAACAGAAAAAGTAAAAATTAGTAAAACTTCAGCCTCATGAAAAAGATCAAGAGCAATGAAAGTAAAGATGAACTATCACTAGACATGTTATGTGTGAATTATTGCCCTGTTCTTAAAATCATTATCATTATCCTTTTAATTGCATGTTACAGGATATTTAAGAAATGATGATACAATATTGCTATCATGGTCTGATTATGATAATCTTTTACCCTAAGTAAAGTATAGATTATACTATAGTAGTAGTATGTAAACAACACTGATATGATGATATTCAAGACTAACATAAGGACTTTGGTAAAAATAGAATAAATTATATTCATAGTAAAATTTTTAAATGAAAACATTTTAAAAAACTTTGAAGATCTTTAAGTAGACCACATAAATTTACCTACATGGAACAACTAATAGTACTATTGAACTAATGATAACACATTGTATTTTATGAAAACCTTGGTCAGTTGTCAATAAAATTCCTTTATAGCCTCATTTTTCCTATGTGAAAGTGGTAGAAAGCACCATGCCTGTTTACATTTGTACCTTGGTTTTTCTTTTTAGGACCTAATAAAGTAAATTTGTAAGTTCTTTTCCTTCTGTGTAACAGATAGTTTTACCACCTGGAAAATGCGAAAGCATAAACAGAAAGTCGCAAGAAGGCCAACTCGGTGGCACCAGTGACTGCAGGCAGCTAACAAAACCACATTTTTGAAATGACATGGTCTCCTCCAATGTCGTACAAAGGCAAAAGTACGTAAAAGCAGACACGATGGGACTTCAGACTTCTTAATTCAGAAATAAAACAATTCTTGGACTCTGACAAACAGCTGAGTAAGGGAAAGTTAAATATAATCTAGTATATAAAGTTGCCAGTCAAAGAGTTTTCAAGGATATGATACACCCATCCTGCCTCTTAAATTATTCTAAGGACCATTCTTGTTAGATTTAAAGGTTCTTCTTTTACCTCAAGGTCTCTTTAAATGTGCGGAGCTCAACCTGTTCTTTATTCATTTATGACTGCCCTACACTGTAGTGACCAATGAACAAATTAATATCTCATCATTCAGAGATATATTATGCTCTAAAAGATATATCTGTCATCTTTACAAGATTGTCGACATATACTTTCTTAACCCTAAAAGAACATCAAAATTTACTACAATCACTAAGCAAGGACATAAAGAAGTGATTGGTCTCAGGCCAAGAGTCCTAAAAAAGAAGATATAAGCATATGCCATTTTATGGAGGAATATTATCAGGGTTGAAGACAAGAGACTGTCACTAAATGGAACATCATTATGCTGAAAGTTGCCTGAGGACAGGAATGTCCATTTGTCCTTGTTTCCAGAGCCTGGTACTCTATAGCATGTGCTAAGTGATCAAAAACTGGTTATTTTCTTGAGCCAAAGAAATTCATTCTTTTAGCTTAACAACATGACTACCAGGAAGCTGGAATGTGTTTTGTCAACATGTTGAGTGGTCACAGGGAGAAGTGGCAGACAAACGGAAAGATGAAAGGTGGACAAATACAGTTATTAAATTCAATATACACATGGGAAACTGGGACCACAGAAACAGAGGGTATAGGTGGGGTTGAGAAAGTTGGAGGACAATGATGGAAAGGGTGATATTGATCCAGGGACATTGTACTTACAAACTGACTTGGTAAACGGAATCCCCTATGTACACCTACTTAAAGAAACTACAGACAAAAATGTATTCTTTTAACTGCGCTCAATATAAAACCTCACAAATATTTGTAAAAATGCATATCAGCAAAGGGCTAGAACACTATGGCTTGGTAAATTATTGGTGAATGTAACATACATGTGTATTCATTCCATGGTCGACATTCCCAGATGCAGAGTACATGGTTGTGGTGATTGACTGTATATTTAAATGTCTAAAATGTTAATGACTTTGATATGAGTAATTTCCAAGAGAATAAGTAAATGTGAGAATAAAATATCTTGTTCAAATTGAATATTTAAGTAAAAAGCACTTAAAACAGCAAGCACAGAAAGATCACGCTAAACAAGATACATCTATGTATCTATAAATCTATATAGTTATAGCTATATGTATATACATATATTTGTATATATGTATACATAGATATATATGTATATATATATATAGATATATACATACACACACATAAACACACAATCTACCAGATATTAAGATAGTCCAGTAGAAAATAAAGTCATAAATACAATAAATACTAACAAAATATAAATGTATTAGTTTAGCAACTAGTAGTTCACACCTGTATATAATCCTAGCTACTCAAAAGGCTGAGATCTGAGGATCATGGGTCCAAGGCAACCCAGGCAGGCAAGACCAGGAGATTCTTATCTTCAATTAGCCAAGTGGTAAGTAGAGCTTGGTTCAAGTGGTAGAGTGCTAGCCTTGAGCATAAAAGCTTAGGGACAGCACCCAGGCCCAGAGTTCAAGTCCTAGGGTTGCCAAAAAAATAAGTAAATACAAAATAAAAATAAATATATATTTTTTGCAGGGGAGGGGAGGAAAACAGACAAAAACAAGTAGCATTTCTTTCTTTTTGCCTGTTGAAAAATTCTCGGAAAAAACTTGCCTACTTCTGGAAGAATCTTCAGTTTATCTGTTAAGTGTTCTTTTCTTTTTGATGGTAGTATAAACATTTGAAATTTGATTTAGATTTTGGGGCTAATCCACATTCCCCACAATGGAGTTCGATCAGGGAGCCTGGATCTTGAGGAGTAAGTTTATCTCTGTTGGAACTGAAGCAGTCTCCACTCCGTCACTCTGGATATTCAATTTTATAGATGATAAAGGAGTATGTCTAGATCAATAGATCTAAAACAATTAAAAATCCTTACAGAACACATCTCAAGCTTCTTCATATTTTATAATACATACATAATCAAAGCATTTAATTAGCTTTCTTTTTCAGAGCTCAAAAAGTTGGATTTATTATTGCTGACAACTGCACAGTAACTTTCAACTTGCTCATGCTCCTAGAAGCTCAAATCTGAAGTATCATTTTCCTTCCCTTTTTTTGGGGGGGGGGGCGGGGAGGTCTGAACTTTGGGGCCTGAACTCTGGGCCTGGGCACTGTCCCTCAGCTTTTCAGCTCAAGGCTAGCGCTCTACCACTTGAGCCACAGCACCACTTCTGGCTTTTTTCTTTTTGCTTATGTGGTGCTGAGGAATCGAACCCAGGGCCTCATGCATGCAAGGCAAGCGCTCTCCCACTGAGCCACCTTCCCAGCCCCTCATTTTCCTTCTCAAAAAACAAAAACCAAGTATATACTCTGAACATTTCTTTTAAAAGTAAACTAGCTGGGTACTGTTGGCTCATGCCTATAATTCTATCTACTTAGAAGGCTGAGATCTGAGGATTATGGCTCAAAGCCAACGCTGGCAGGAAATTCCATGAGACTTTTATCTCTAATTAACCCCCAGAAAACTGAGAGTGGTGATGTGGCTCACAGTGGTAGAGTGCTAGCTTTGAGCAAAAAGAGCTTAGAGACAGAGCCCACAACAACAACAAAAATTAAATTGCCATATGTAGAACTTCTTTCAAAGGAAGATACTAGTTCTAACTTTGTAAGTCTTTGAATAAAATGAAAAAAAAAAACCCAAGCATATAAATGTTACTTTTGCACATGGTTAAATAAATAACTATTGTGGCCTTTAAAGATTTTCATGTATTCACAAATATTTGGAAACTCAACTGTCATGTTTAAGACAGATGGAAGAATTTCTGAGTGTTTGAAGATAAGCACTGTTCTAAATAAAGTTAGGTACTTGTGGGCCTCCTGGTCATGTAAGTAACTTTCAAGCAAAAAAAACCCAACAACAAAAATCACTGAAGAGGAAAACAGTATTGACAATCAGTCTCAGATCTCTAGGTCACCATTTTCTGAAGAGCTAGGATTTCAGAAGTAAACCACTAGCATCTGACTATTTATGTTCTTTATTGATGGGCAGGTATTCAATCTATGGTGGTCTTCTCAGATGAAGAATACATGAATATGAGTGGCTGATGTACATATTTAATATATGTTAATGCCTTTTATATAAGTAATTTAGAAAAACTTTTGTTAAGAGTATATATAAACATGAGAATAAAAAAAAACAACTCACAACCATTTGTCAATGAGACAGGACTACAGGAATCCTGAACTACTGGGTAATAGGTGGTGGTTACTTAGCTTATATTTTTTATTACTTTTATACTTTTGTCCATTTAAAAAAGTTCATAATATTTTTTGCATCACTTGTTGCTTACTAGAGTGGGGTAAGTTTGATTCATTTTTGTAGCCCTGGTGCCTAGCATACACTAAACATTTAGTGGACAATCAAATTGATTCCTTAAATTGGTACAAATTGGTACAAATCTCCAGTGACAGGAAATTTATAACTAGCCCACATGTGATATTTGCATATTCTATTAAAATTCTTTCAAATTGTGTTATCAAGTTGAAGTGTACCTCACTATAGTTTCCTACAACTAGCCTTAGTTCTACACTCTGAGAATACCTAGAAAATGCCAGACAGGACTGAACAAATGTACAGGATTTTATTATGCTACTTAGAATGGTATGCAATTTAAAACTTCAGAACTATTTATTATTGGAGGTTCTCATTTGATGTTTCCTGGACTGCAATTGGCTTTGAATAACTAATACTACAGAAAATGAAACTGCAAGGAAGGTAAGCCACTGTATTCACAAAGCACATTCTCACCAAATACACTAACAACAATGACAAAAAAACATTAAATTAACATATATCTAAAAAACTGCAAAAGAAGACACTTTTACTGAGAAAGTACCATAAAGCATTAACTATTATAAATGGTTTCAACTATTAGAGTGCAATTTCTTCTGTAAGGAAATAAATTCTCAAGATGAAGTATGTCAAAAATGACAAAGAACTTACAAATACAAGTACATTGCTATATTTTTTTCTCATTTCAATAGCATTGGTCCTAGTTTCATCA